ATATAATATAAATTTACTTATGATTGCTGTAAAGCATTCGAAACGTCGGGAATCAAAAATGAAATAAATCTGTGAAAAATCCGAAAAGATAGTTTTATTTGAAATAGCAAAATTTTTATAATTACCTAGTACTTAATTGGACTCTTTATGAATGACAAAATTGTAGTTCTATTTAATTAAGATTTACTTAGTAATTTAAGTAATAATTGAGATTAAATTCAAATAAAAATTAATGTTTGTAAATCGTTTTAATCCCTCCAAGACCGCCGACACGCCGGCGTTACAGTTAACAATAGGTTCCTTAGAAATTTACTTGGAGATGTTAAAGTTTTGTAATTTTCCCACTAAGTAAATATATTAGGGTCATATTTTTTTCAATCTGTTATATCTAGACCAAAGATTTGCTTTATTATTCATTATCTAATTTAAAATAGTTCATGTGGAATATAGAATCGCCACTCGAGTGTAAAACGCAGATTGTTACATCCATGATATGCACTAGGATTTTATGTCTGAAAACCAGCAAACCAACGTTTCTGATATATAAATTTTCATCTCAAACCTAGATGATGCAACCTACATTTTACTTTTAAAATTAAATCTTAAAGGCAATGGTATTTCAGTGGTAACGCGTTCACTTGGAAGATCATATGAAACGATTTCAATCTCCGGCTCTCACTCTGATTTTATATGCTTATAGTTTTCAATTTGCCACTAACTTTACCGTGAATAAAAACTTTTTGAGTAAACCTGTGTATTTGAAAGAACTTAACTGGTTTTAGAAAGCTTATGAAGGCCGCTAAATCGCACTTGGTTAACGTAGTTGATCCTTTTTTCATTGAACCAAGGCCCAGCAGTGGGACTATAAAAAGTCTGAATTATATCTTAATTCTTGTATTCAGCTCTTCTTAACGACCCACCACTGGGCACTGGCTTCCCTTCACTATAAGGGGGATCAGGCTATAGTACACCACGCTGGCCAAGTGCGGGTTGGCGGACTTCACATGTCTTTCGAAAACTAGTTAAGTTCTCTGTCAGACTTTCAAGTTTCCTCACGATGTTTTCCTTCACCGTAAGGCAAGTGGTAATCATGTTAGAAATGATTCGCACATGAAAATATCAGAGGTGCGAGACCCGGGATTTGAACCCGCTTCACTCGGTTTCCCAAGCGAGCGCGTTACCAGTGGGCTACCACTGCCTCAATTTCTTAACAATAGCCAAAACAATTATAAAAGTAATAAATTACAACACGATGAAAGACGTGAAATGATGTAGAAAAATCGTTATTTCGAACTGTAATGTGCAAGTAATTATTAATATCGATTTAACTAATGATCAAACTATTGTAGAACGTTTAAGTAACCCTTAGTTAACTTTAAATAAATATGTTCGTACATTAACACACAGCACCATTTAGTTCCATGGTAAGCTACGAGGCTTGTGTTATGGATACCAGATAGTTGATTTACTACACGTGTAGGTATAGGTTTAAATACATACATATTATAAATATAAACACCCATGACTGGAGTACAAACATTCGTGCTCATCACACAAATGAATGCCCCTAGCGGGACTCAAAACCCGACCGCTGGCACAACAAGTAGGGTCACTACCAACTGAGCCAAACGTGTCGTCAACTTTATATACATACATATTATAAATAAACACCCATGACTGGAGTACAAACATTCGTGCTCATCACACAAATGAATGCCCCCAGCGGGACTCGAAACCGCGACCGCTGGCACAGCAAGTAGGGTCACAACAAACTAAGCCAAACGTGTCGTTAAAAATAATCGCTAAGATTATTCCTTATCGGTAGTGCTTTTCTATAAGATTGTATCTGCAAACATTCTCGTATTTCAAGTGTATGAAATTTTAGCATCCCTAGATAACTTTGCACGGTTGCGACGAATGAATTTCATAATATTTTATTATCTGCTTAAGTAGTAAATTTTACCTCTTTTAAATACTTAATTATGATGATGAAAAAGATAATTTTAATTATTTATATTATTAATCATAATATTATTAATTTTGCAAGTTTTTATAGAATTTATAATTTTGCTTTATATTGTTTTCGCTTGAATACAACGTCTTAACAAACACGCGCACAATAAGCCACCGAGCAGTGCTTTATCTGTTGACTCGTTTCGTTTGGTTATCGAGATTAACGTACAGAAAGTAAAGTTTTGCGGGAACTTTCTATATTATATCATATTCAATTGCTTTTTAAATTTGAATGATTATTTTATTTTTATACTACATACACATATGGAGACAAACTACAATGAACCAGCGACTCACCCTCTCTTCGCTCGGGTTCGTCCCTAGGTTGATTCCCCATATAAACTTTCACCCCCATTTTCACCTTCTTAAGGGATGATTTTCGGGATAAAAAGTATCCTTTGTCCTTCCCAGGGTCTCAAACTATCTTCTTATCAAAGTTCATCAAACATCGATTCTGTAGATCCAGAGATTACCCCCTACAACCTCACATACTCACAAACTTTACCTCTATATAATATTAGTATATATTAGTTTTACAATACATATTAGAAACAACTTCTTTCAATAAATATTAAAATCTTAAACTAGACTTGTTCAAAATATGTTTGACAACTCGAGCGTATTACATTGCCGGCTAAGCTTTAGATGTTTACAGCAAAACGTGCGTTAAGGTAGCATACACACTATAGATTATTAGATAAAAAATATACATATATAATTTTTTGTTGTTGTTGTTTCTCAAAATTATATTTAAATAACTAACAGAAACCGTGGCCTCGCCCGCGTTTAATCTACAAAAAACTCTTTGGCTTTATGTATTTGTCTAATATTTTTCATATAAAAATACTAAAATCGCGATTAAAAATGGGGAGTGAGTTAGGAGGGTGAAAAGTTTACGCCCTATTTTCATATCTACCAAATGTGCAAAAAAATCATTAAAATCGGCCGAGCCGTTTCAGAGGAGTGCGACCACAAACACCGTGACACGAGATATTTACATATTGGATAAAAAAAGCTGAAACAACTAGTGCTCCTAAACTCTACCTAAACATAACATTATCATATGGTAATGTTTAGCTCGCATGCTCTTTACTTTTTGTCTGACACGCGAAAGGAAAATATTCAAGTTTGTTGACATTCGTTGGCAAACTCACTCGAATGCTATAAATAAAACTAACGAATATATTCCTTACTAGCAATTCAGTCTCGCTTCACTTAGTTACGTCCATAGGTATCTTTTATTTTTATATAGACTGCGCCACCTCTTGGTATAACACCCACCTAACATATCATACTCCAGGTCATAGTTTATATTTTGTACTCTAACTTTCATTCAATATGATATTAATAAATATATTTCTTAGATTTACGCGCTTATAACATTTTAAATAGAACTATCTTTTCGGATGTTTTCGTGGATTTATTTTAATTTTTGCTTCCTGACGTTTCAAATGCTTTACATCAATAGTTAGATTAGATGGAAGCGCCCAAGATTATTAACATCTTTAACTTTTTTGAAGAGATATCGTCAGTCTCTCCCGTAACCATGATTGCTGTAAAGCATTCGAAATGTCAGGAAGCAAAAATCAAAATAAATAAGCCATAAATTCCAAAAAGATAGTTTTATTTAAAATTAATATGTATCTTTAAAACTGAGGTTAAGCAAATGGATATCACAAGATTACACAACATCATACTAATAAAATATATAATCTAAAATAATCTATGTTTTAGTATTTAATACCTACTATTCTAATGATGATATTAATCTACCTAATTGTTTATGGTTGCGGTGACTAAAGATCAAAAAGATTTTTCCTTTTGCCAACAGTAAATCTTATAAAATCTTATTAAAAGTTTAATATTTGTGTTAAAACTTCAAATAAAATTTCAATGGGCTTCGTTATCGTTTAAATTTAAACGTTTGCTAAATTAAAAAAAAACACAGCTTATTTTTTTATTCTATAGCCAGATTAATAATGTTTTAGATTATAATAAATTTGTGGATATACCACTCGTGTCATTCTCATGAATGCTTTAAGCTGTAAATCAGTCAGCTATTTTCGAATGCTGTTTTCAACGAACGAACAGACAAACAAGCGGGCAATTTCTTACAATATTTATTTCTGGATTCTACTGTAAACAAATAAGCTTCACTTAATGTTCACTTAACTTACTTTATAACAAATACAACAAACCCACTAGTATGTACATATATGAATTCCTTTTTTACTTATATAGATACATACTCATTTCAATTTTTACGACATGTTTAGTTTGTAGTGACCCTACTCGTTGTGCTAACGTTCGTGGTTTCGAGTCCCTCTGGGGGCATTAATTTATATGATGAACACGAATGTTTGTACTCCAGTCATGGGTGTTTATATATATAATATGTATGTATTTAAACCTATACCTACACGTGTAGTAAATCAACTATCTGGTATCCATAACACAAGCCTCGTAGCTTACCATGGAACTAGATGATGATGTGTGCTAATGTCCCAACATATTTATATTTATTTATAATAACACTAGCGACTCACACTCACTTTGTTCGGGTTTGTCCCTAGGTACGTTTAACGATTAGTATAGAATAAATAGACTATATACTGTTATATACATATATTATTTTTTTCTAACTTACACTTGACACATTGTTGTAGATGGTAAGTCCACCACTATTGAAAGTAATCCGAAGTAGTGATTCCCGTACAAAATAACCAGTTCTGAACTTTTCGATTCTTCAGCTATTCTTATGGGTTTTTTTCTAATTTTTTTTATATTTAAACCATCCCTGATATACCTCCAAAAAAACAAAAAGAATAATTCAAATCGGTTCAGCCGTTTTTGAGTTTTAGCGAGAATAACGAACAGCAATTGATTATATATATATATATATATATATATATATATATATATATATATATATATATATATAGATTTGACTGCAACAACATAGGCTTATCTAATATGGTAATACTTACCCAGCGTGCGGAAGACGATTGGCCTGCTCCTGTACTTATGCCCGCCCCAAAGCGCGGCGACAGTAACTTGGTATTGCGTGTCCGCTTCCAAACCACTCAGTATAACCGCGTCGGAATTGCCAGCCACCTCCAACACCACTCTGTAACTAATTGGCCATGAGTCAATTTCGTTGTTTTCTATCAGCAAGATAGAGATAGGAGGGGAAGGAGGAAATGAAATTGAGAGATAGAAATAGATAATTGATAGAAGTAGAAATTAAAGTATCTATCTAATATGAGACTAATTCAGCTAACTTTAAATATTCCATATTATAATCATTAACTTATCGCTACATTTTCTATCTACGATCTAAGAGTCTATTTCGACACCCTTTACACATTTCTTATAATTAATTGTATATTTATGAAGTATTTCTAATATAAATATGTTAAGCTAAATATACATACATATGTACTTTATGTATTATTAATACATAAATATGAAAAAAAATCTATTCAGAAATGGTTATTTAGCAAAAACTTACGTAACTTGCGGGCTGCATGAGTAAAAATATTAATATTTAGATTTGTTATTGATATTTGATTGGTCTTTAAATAAAAAAATAAATAAAAAACAAAAAGATATCCATATTAGTTTCATCTGAGTTAAATTAAGATGATATAGTTGTTTAATGTCATATTATGTACTGCAGTCGGAAAAGTACCTAAGATAGCAGTAGGTACAAGTAAAATATCTCAGACACTTTGGTTTCCTTACGTTTTTTTCTTTAGCGTATTAGTAAGGTAGAAACTTTTAAAAGAAAATATAAGAAATCTTATTTTTTTCTTTTAAAAGTAAAAGTTGTGGCGGACCCTAAAGGTATTTAATATGTTATATGGCTTACACTCTTTTTTTTACACACTTCGGCATATATACATATTATGTATAATAGAATGTAAGTAATATAGTAGACTAGTATGATTAATCTTCGCGTAATTGAGTAAAATAATAAATAAATATAAATATGATGGGACATTAACACAGCACCATTTAGTTTCATGGTAAGCTACGAGGCTGGTGTTATGGATACCAGATAATATATATTAATAAAAAAATATAATTTATATAAATGAAAGTTAAGTTTTGGACGCATACTATAATAATTTTCATTTGAATATGATAATAAAAAAATTTAGTCATTATCTAATATGTAATTGAAATATATATATATAATGATGTTGTCTCCTGACCGATTCCGGCCACGGCGGCCCATCTCATTGAGACGACCCAACTGCGCAGGAGCTATTATAGTGCACAAGTGTACGCGCAGACACAAGTGCACTCTCTATTCCTGTCACTCTTATATTCCGGTGGGACGACCACTCGACACGACCAGTGAGAGGTAAGGCGCAGGACCGACGGCTTTACGTGCTCTCCGAGGCACGGGGGTGAAACACCGCCAACTTTCCAACTCCGGACTGAGACTTACTATACAGAAAGACTCAATAACTAAACTTGGTCCGATCCGGGACTCGAACCCAGGATCTCCGAGCAGATGTGCAGATGTGCAGCCGTACATGCTAGCCACTATACCACCGAGGCAGTTAATATATAATAAGAGGGATATTAACAAAATCCTTTGAAATATCTGAATACAATATTAACAATTGGAAATATAGCATATTTTAAACAATTCACCTTAATTCAAATGCAAGCTCTATTGTTACGTCTCAAGTAACAAATTACAATGTACACTAAGGAATGAAAAACAATGCCTTTTCCTCAGGAAGTTTATAAATTACCTTTCGCCTTTGATTTCTGTCCTTTTATTTGTTCACTCTATTATGGACTTACCTTAGTTTTCAAACAATGGTTGGTCGAACAATATACATATGTCGTGATCCCATTAATCAATAAGTGATTAAGATGGTACTCGTGTAAAATTTATATTATACGTAGCGATAGCCTATTGGTAGCACGGTAGCTTGAAAATCCAAGGGAAACCAGCTCAAATTCGCGTCAAACCTGACATTGCCATATAAGAAAAAATTACAAAATGATTATTACTTGCTATGTATAATCAGTGTTTGAAACTATCGTGATAAAACCTACATATCTGAATTTTTACCGAATTGCCTGAGATTTTGGGAACTTTTTCTATAAAACAATTATGTTATATATATTTATTAATATTTAAAAACTTGTTACATTGTCCCGCCGCTCTTAAGTGATACGCTTATAAGCAAACAACATTTCTTTTTTTATTATATAGATATAGAAAGGGCATCCTCTAGCAAAATAGTTAAAAACTTGCCATTTTGTGCTCTCCCACAAAAAGTTTATTTATACACCCGTAGAGCAAATCTCCTAAATATGACATATATGAAAAAAACATCAATATGAGCTGCCCAATGTATAAGGACCCATAAAAGAAAACATAATGATTGTTTATGTACATAATACCCAAGAGCTCGATATACCCAAGAGCAACACAAAGTTCCTCTTGCATTCTTTTTCGGTGTATGGCGCATTGCTCTGGAACAAACTTCCTAAAGAAATCCAACTTAGTCCCTCTATTGATTCTTTCAAAAAAAAATTAAAACAGCATCTTCTCACTCAATTAAATCAAAAATTATCTTAATTACTATTATTATGTATTGTATTATATAGATATGTATTTATGTAAGTAGTAGTGTGTATGTATATATGTACATAAGTATGTATGGTATAGTAAGTAGTGTATATTATATGTTATTCTATATATTATTTAATTAGCTATATATTTTTTAGTATCAATATATTATTTATATAACTACGACTGCACGAATTTAGCCCGCTTTGTAATTTCTCACTGTTACTTTCACAATTGTTTCTATTTCTCACTACCATAGGTTGGCTGGAAGAGATCTCTTCTAGAGATAAGTCCACCTTTGTAAATAACAACTAATTTTAAATTACAGTATTGATTTTTTTTAAGTGCAATAAAGAATAGTATATATAATATTTAAAATTCATCACAGTACTAATAGCAGAGTATAATTGAATTATTATAACATATCCATATCAAATATTCTGTAGACCGATAGTAGTCTTATTATTACACAGTCTACCTATATTATTTAATCACATACAATTTCCAGTACAAAATGTGTGTATCTGAATAAAAAATGAAGAACGTCGTACTTGACATGAAAATATAACATAGTATCCATATAATTCGTAAACGAACACAGTTTTTCCCAAAATTCGTGAATTTTTTATACGTTAAAAAGGCTGGACTGATTTGAATGAGTACATGCGTAGTATATAGGCTATGATTTGGCGTAACACAAAGGTACCTTAGGACATACCTGAGCGAAGCGAGGGCAATTTGCTAGTAAATTCTTCTATTTATTCCATCCTTTTTTTAAAATATTGGACTTTAAGTAGGTTTCACAATCGCCACTCAGACTACATGACACCTCGCCTCGCAAGTAAATATTTACAGCATTAACCGTTTATCGGTTTACCGAAGCCTTAAGCCGTCAACCCTGTCTGGATGTCATGAGGCTTAAATGTAAACATATTGGCTATTTTATCAACTTACTAAAGTTGACAAGTTCAAGGAAGTAAAATATTATATTTAAAATTAATATTTAAGATGATGGTTGTCATAGCTGGTACCTAACTAGAATTTTCGTACAGGTCGTATATTGCATTGATTGATAGGACCTATAAGTTGACTTCACTTAGGTCTTATACTTTCGGTCGGTTTTTTTTGCTACAAACGACCAAATCGTCATAAACAGTCATAATCGTCATAGCGAAAAGTTTGTTATAATCGATTAAACCATTTTTATTTTATTTTTTTTCCTTTTCTGATATACAAAGTCACTTTTCTTTTCGCTTAAATCACAGTACTTGTAAGTGAAAAACTAAAATTTGGATTAGAAAAGATATTATTCTACAAACTTTGAAGAATTAAAATTCTAAAAAAAAAATGAGAATGACAAGGTTATGATTCTATGACTTTTGTCATTTCAATACTATCATTTTTATTATTATTATATATAATTTTAAAATATTATTCTTCATAGGTTTTAGAATGATATCTCTTCTAAGCTTCCTGCTGTCCATTAAAAGCAATTCGGTTATTACGAAGATATGTAGGTATCAACAAATGCACAAGAAGTATAACGTGTAAGCTTAAATAATATAATAATTGTAGCTGGAAAGTAAAAAACATGTACCTATTCTGTTGTCTAAAAATAAAACCAGATACGTAGAGTTTATTATTTTCCCTTAGTTTCTCTTACAAACTAGACAATACCAAATCTCTGAAGACTTCACGTCGGGTTTTCCATTTCCAATATCGGTGAAAGTTCACATCACTCTTCTTCTTTACCAATTATTACTATCCCAAGTGGATATTCTATGACATACAGTGTAACACATAGTGTCAAGCAGTCGACCGATCGATTTTTAAACTGATACTTTTACCAATAAAACAAATAAGCTAGTATATTTGTTGGTTAATACAGAAATAATATTTGTACAGATGATGTAAGTAAATCTAACTCAAATAGTGTGGAGTATGTTTTAAAAATCTTTTAATTGTATCTATATTCTATATTTTATCTGTGGTCGCTTCCGTCTTTCGCTCTGAATATAGGCGTTCATGAGAAAGGACGCTGGTTTTATATTCAAGTTATAATAATACTAGCGACTCACTCTCGCTTCGCTCGGGTTCGTCCCTAGCTTGATTCCCCATACAAACTTTTATCCCCATTCTCACCCGCTTAAAGGATGATTTCCGGGATAATAAAGGTTACCCCCTATAACGTCATAAACTCACAAACTTTACCTCTTTATAATATTAGTATAGATTAACTGTCCTACTTATACTCAGAAACAAATCAACGTGTTATTTATATCTATAGTTTATAAGCCAAAGAGTGATATTAGGTTACCTTTTTTTCATCAGGCTCCCTAAGCAAAGCTAGGACGGATCACCTGTCCGAGGTCACAAAAAATAAATAAGTTAAATCTAAAACATATAATATATTGGAACGAGTATGATAAATTGGAACAATAAAAATAAGCTATGGGCAAAATATGTGCGATAAAGATAGAATATGATAAATTGCCTCCAAAAGGTCCTACATACGCATTTTTTAGGAAAAGCCG